TTGTTATCACAAGTGAATCATTAAACGCCATCAATTATAACAGCACCGAACGTTAAAGCCAACATTATATCAGGCGTAGTAACGTTAGTACCGCAATAGGAAGATGGAAAAATTTCCCCCAAACCAGCTCCAAGCTATGTCCACTATGTCCATCGCTTTTGCATCAAAATGTCCGATTAATATATCACTGTGAAATGACACGCTAATTCTGCCGCCATATTTGGTGATGGTCATTGTTCGCTATAACACTGCTAGTTAGTATCTAGGCCAGTGATTCTTAACCGGGGGGTAATTGCCTTCCAAGGGCAATTTCACGAATGTATTTCAGGGGTTACTGAACTGGTCAGCTACACATATTTCTCTTAAACAGAGCCAAGCTATACAATAAAGTTATGAAATTTTATTTTATTTTTGTGTGTTCAGATTTAGAAAAGAATTGAGAGAAAAATTTATTTATTGATTAAGCTTAAGGGATAACAACGATAGATCTGTTAGAAGTTGTTTAAACGCTGCGTGTTAAATGTGGTGATTTATAGAACCTTCTAGAACTACACAGTATGGGCGCTAGCAGGACTATTTTTTCAAGGGAGAGGGGGGCAGTTAGTTTTGCAAGGAGGGGGAGGTGCAAACACTCTTGTTTCCAAATTTATATTTGAGCCCTTTAAGATTTTTCTTTTCTGATCCTTTTTATAACATTCACGTTAGAAAAATAATTTTTAAAATGTTTCATTATTAATATTTGTATATTTCCTTCTCTCAGTCAATTAAAATTTAAAAAATTATGTACCTGTACTCTTCGCCAAATATAATAAAAATGATCAAGTCAAGGAGGATGAGCTGGACTGGGCATCTAGCACGAATTGTGTAGTAGAGGAATACTTATAGGATACTGGTGAGAAGCCAGAAGGAAAGAGACCACAAGGAAAACAAAAATGTAGGTGGGTGGATAATATTAAAATTGATCTTAGATAGGATGTGTTGGTATGGACTGGGTTGATCTGGCTTAGGATATGGACCAGTAGAAGGACTCTTGTGTACATGGCAATAAACCCTGGGGTTTCGTAATATTTTGAACGATTGTTGAGTAGCTACGCAACTGGCGGTTTCTCAAGAGGAGCTCATCTCCATGGAGTCAGTTAGTGGTTAAATAATTAAATTTTAAATATTTCATTAGCCAATTGCTATGTATGCAGCCATGTAACTAAACTGTATACAAGATTAGGAAACCTCTCAAGGCACCTTAGTGCAAACAGGCATTTTAATAGGAGGACAAGGAACATGTACTTCCATGACGTCAATATGTATAAATAAACAAGTAGTAAAATGTCAAGGTAAAGATGAAGTTCTCCCTGAACTTAATTAAGGTTATGAAGACGTATGAGGGAGTGCAGGTGACGCATTTGTGAGTTCTGTTTTGATGGAGGTGAGTGGTCAGCTTCCCGCCGAGAATAATTTACCTCGAGGGATAGGAACCCAGGTACCGATTCTATACGAGGTCGGGTGGGCCCCAAAACCAGTTCCTCTTGCCCCTATCGGAAATACAGGCCGTACCCTAGTCACTGTAATGGCTACCTCTTCTCTAGTTGAATGGAAATTGGGGATATTTTCTGTTGATAAAACGCTCTTATAAGGAACATGATAAAAATAATTCATTTGAAGAAGTGAGGAGTAAATAAGCGAACAAAGTATTGATTGAATGAAATAAATCATGTTCACAAAGACTAGTTATGAACTTCGAAGAATATTAAATATTTAAGAAGTAACTTCATTTGTAAAATATTCATTAGTTGCGTGTGGACATTGAAAGACCTGATGAAGGGCGTTCTTTGTAGAATGTAAGGAGGAACGAGGCACTTAGGGCCGCACCATAGCTCAAGCGGGTAGTCGCTGGATTCCCACAGCGGCGGCCCGGGTTCGGTCCCGGGTCTGGTCAAGTGGGATTTGTGGTGGACAAGGTGGCGCTGGGGCGGGTTTTCTCCGAGTACTTCGGTTTCCCCTGCCAATATTCATTCCACCAAATTCTCCATCATCATATTCACCCGGGGCAGGTACAATAGGCCAATCAGTTGCCGCCATGCCAAGTGGACCCAGTTGGACTCCGCCCCCCCCCCACAAAGCGAATTAAAAAAGGCAGTTCAAGGTCAGTGAGCATTTTCGCATATTTACATTATCATTACGGTTTTTCCCCCCAAAATTTCGGATATAGAATCCTATAGAATTTCTTTATAAATTCATGCATACACGTTATGACGTCAACACCGTTCAGACCATCTGCTTAATACTCGGTATAATTTTGACCCTTAAAATAAAGAAAAAGAGGGCAGGTTGACGTTGTGATAACGCTTTAGAAATGTGTTTAGGAGGTGATGATTCGAATTTCTACAGGGACATTGATTATCCCGACGGTTTTAGTGGTTTTACTCACTCTCTACCGGGGAAATTACAGAATATAATCTCGATTAGACGAGGCTTACTCATCAACCTGAAGATGGAGTCAGTATGTTCCTGCGAACTGTAGGTAAACTTCTACCAGGTCACACGGCACCATATCGCAGAATAGAGCGCTCTTTATTGTTACAGCCTATTAAATTTCACACCACCAAATGCTGTCTTCTTCCGAATGTACCCAATATGGAAACACATTTACCACAAAGGGCTTACACAGATGCGTATTTAAATCTGTCACCAAAAGCACGTATAGTGTAACAATTCTCCGGAATTATCTCTGTTATGGCCTATATATTTTTAAATTTGTCAATGCTAACTTATGGTTCTGTTTTATTAATAGCGTAAAACTGATTATTTCAAACAGAAAACTTATAAATACACTTTAAATATAACTGACAAACATATCGAGGCTGAAATAATGGAGATTACAAATAATTAAGTCTTCGCGTGTGTTCGAACGATTGCTGTTGATTGTTGGATGTACAAATTTGGAAATACTCACGTAGCGAAACAATTTTGGAAAATTCCCTCACGTGATGGAGATCCTCTTGTCGTCATTAGAAGGCTACCAGAAACAATTTTCGAATTATGATAAATCACCACACCAGAAATCTCCTTAAACACTCACGAATATGCATCTATAGAACTGCCAAATCAAGGAATGGCATACCGTCAATACAGACACAATTTAGTAACAAACAACTTAAAATGCGTAATTTTATTTTGTTAAATGGCACCACATCTCTCGATTCTTAAACACTATTATTTATAAAGTAAAACCGACAACAACGAATTAAACAGAGAAATAAATACCGTCACATTCTACCGGAAATATGTCGCAACACTGCAACAGCTATTCGAACAAATTCTGCCGGAAATATGTTGCAACCATGCAAAAACTATTCAACAGATTCTGCCGGAAATATGTCGCAACACTGCAACAACTATTCGAACAAATTCTGCCGGAAATATGTTGCAACCATGCAAAAACTATTCAACAGATTCTGCCGGAAATATGTCGCAACACTGCAACAACTATTCGAACAAATTCTGCCGGAAATATGTCGCAACACTGCAACAACTATTCGAGCAAATATGTCTTCTTCTTCCTAGTCAGACTTTACGGGTTAGTCTTTTTGAGATGTTGTAGTTCATAAATAGATCCAGTAACTTTAAGCTTATAGATACTGGTAGGACTACATGGACGGGGGGATGGGCTCACCGCAAGACCTCTACCTACACTGGACAACATAAACACAGAAGAGTGTCAAAATACTCGTATATCCACGAACCTACTGGGATGGGAACACAATCCCCTGTTGATACTTTAGAAGGCAATAACAGGTCTATGCAGCGAGGTCACTCTGATCGGTACATGGAGAAATCAAGGTCACAAAATATATATTCAGCGAATACCAGCGGCCGTAAGGTCTAAGGCACCCATTTTTATCAACTGCTCCGATACGATGATCATGTGTTCGAATCCCAATCGAGTCACGGCTCTGTGAGTTTTATCTGTGTGTGTGTGTGTGTGTTGGTTCTCACGTTTAGGTACAGCTTGCGGCAGACCGATCCCCCATCCAAGGGATCCTATTTAGTGTATGCAGGATTAATCGATTCTGAAGTTATTTCTGAATTTGAACTTGCCAGAGATCATAGTAAGGGCAATTCTGAAGCTCAGGAGGAAGTATAAACAAAACGGGAGTTCATATAGTATGGAAAATGTTTTCGTTTTCATATCCGATCGCTTCATCACGGGATTTTAAATTTCATTACGGCAACAAGAAGAGCAAAACGGCAGTATCAAGCAAATGTTTCGACCACTGACCTCCACTGATGTTCCAAACGGACTCGTTAATTATGAAAGGCAAGGCCAGCGGCTTTAACACCATACCAAAAAAAGGTTGAGGTTTATGTTACGATCGTTTTACAGGGGCGCATATGGAAAGGGCTGGCGCAAAACAGAACTCTATCCCCTGACATATTTCCACCCCTCGCTGTTCACTTAAAAACAAACGAAATTTTCTGAAATTGTGACGAAACGTATCATTGGCACCACAGTTAATTCTTTTGTATTTCTTGTAATTTAAAAAAATTATATAAATAATAACTCTGTGAACAAAAGAATATAATACATTATATTTATTTAAAAATAACCCAATGAAAGGGGTGTTGTAAAATGTACCGACCGCAAAATCGCCTCATCCAGGCTGTAAACTCGCTCGCCTGTGCTGTTTCGCTGGCCTTTTATATGGCTTCATCAAGTATTTTAGGAAATACATGTAAAAAATACGTCTTAAACTGATGTTAACAGAGTACGGTGTTTTTATTTCCGTAAAAAGAATTAATTTTTTGTGTATTTCATTTTAAATAAATGTATGAATGTATACACAACATCAACACACTGTGTAGACTGAAATAGTGAGTAAGTACCTTTGATGGTACTTCAACATCAAAGGCCACTCGAGCAGAACTGAAAGAGCACATAGCAATGTCAACATTTCAAGATCACAGGATAAACAGAAACCATGTATCAGGGTCACAATACTTACAGGGGCAAACTCGCACAATTTAACGTCCTTTCAAGCGACCAGGTAATCTGCCTTTCTTCACAGCGAGATGACAAGATAAAGACGCAACATTAAAGACAACAAAATTTCCGTTCAGGTTCACATTTCGTACAGCAATATATGTGAGCGAAGAAGTTGATCAGGCAGGAGAACAACAAACTAGAAAACACTGTGGCTACAGTCTTCTAATATAGAGACAGTACAAGAAGCCAATAAGCACAACCAGTTGAAATGGTAGCAGAACTTGTAGGAGCAGCGGAGTCTGCATGGGCCAGGGTCCCTTGCACTGAGCTAGTTGTCCCAGCCATGGAACCCAACATCACCGCGGACGCGCAAGCGCATGAGCTTTTCCATCGGTGACGTCACTAATAAAGCCCGGGCGAGTACAGGCGTCATCATATCAAGTTCCGTCCTGAAGAGCGAACTCAACAAAAAGAAGAAGAAGAAGAAGAAGAAAAGGTTAGATTCGATAACGCGATCTATTATAAAACTCTTCAGAAATGGGTCCATATATATGAAAGGAGAAGGGATATGTTGTTAAGGATCCTACATTATATAACGTGACACCGTATAGTCTGTAATGATTGGTTTACATGTTTCGGAGAAGCGCTGCGTAAATCTTCGTGAAGAATCACATGGCCACCGGACCTTTGTAAAGGACACGGTAACTACATTATTCATTAGCATGGATGGCTTGGAGGCTATGGCCGACATATCGACGTTTCGGACGACAGATGTCCCTATCTTCAGGGCGCTCTTAAAAATCTAGAATTGGATGGCCACATTAAGTGTGACGGATAAGATATTTACAGTGTTAATCAGCACAGGTTGTTCACAGACTATAATTCACATATCGATGTTTCGGAGGAGCGATGGGTACCCTTCACAAATATATAGCTACCGGAACTCTGTGAAGGGCAGATAATTACATAATTCATTAGCATGGTTAGCTTGGAGACTATGACTCACATGCCGACGTTTCGGAGGAGTACTCTTCACAAATCTAGTATTACATGGCCACAGTAGATGTGTGATGGATAAGATATTCACAGCGTTAAATGAGCTATTTGTTGCGTGCAGAATGCCTTATTTTCCAACATCGAAGCTTAAGTTCTGGGACAGATTCTGAAGTCCGGTTAACAGTAAAGCCTCAGTAAGGGAGAATGTGTTACCATCCCTAACAATTCTCCATCGACCCGTCTATTGCTGTCTCCCTGAGCCTTCTAGCAAAGAACATTAGTGTCAGCCACACAGGAAGACTATAATTAATCAATCATGATCATATGTTAACAATTTGATTCGGGAACAAATTAATTTTTTTTTTCGTGATACCAAAACCGCAACTCCTTGATCTGCATAAAGTTTTGCGAGGAACGGCGTCCCTGTGGCTCAGATTGCGTGTCTATGACCGAGTGTCCCTCTCTTTGTGACCACGAAACCATTGGCACCGGTAGGACTGGGGATGCCAGACATGTGACACCCCCCGGATTTTTTTGGGGGGGAAAAAAATTAAAAAGAAAAATATCAAATATCAATACCACATACGGAAATAAAAATTAAGCATTCTTTTATCACTAACATGAGGTAGCGGTAGCGTAGTTGAGGTACTGTGCTACAAGCAGGAAAGTTGTGTGTTCGATTCTCGATGTAATTGAATATTTCAGTTGACCTAATCCGCACTATGCTCCTGGGGTCGAATCAGTCTCTAATAGAAATGAGTGCCAGGAATAGTCCGGGGGAGTAAAGGGTAGCCGCCCCGTAAGGCTAACCTCACCGCCATCTGTGAGCCGATTGTCTAGAAAATATGGGAGCCTCGGCGTCTCACAACCCTATGGGCCTCCACGGCCGGTTACAGGGACAGCTTTACCTTTTATCTCTCATGAATATCATAATGCGATCTGAAGGAATAATCTTATGTGGTTTTTACATTAAGTTCTTAACTAAATTTTCTGGCTGTCCCTCTAGAGTTCTATTCACCTGTCATTCGTGAAGTAATTCTCTTCATTGTTAACTTCTTGCCACAAAGATAAATTTCCCTATAAATACAAATTATTATGTTAGTATATTGACGTGTTACTTATTATATCCACCCCCCCCCATAAGCCTTCATGGCGTAGTGCTTAATTCGTTGAGCACAGGGACAACTTTACATTTACCTTTTTACATATTATCACTCATTTTGATGAATTTATGTCCAATTTATTGCTTTATTTATTTCATGATCTCTCTCAAACACACTTCTCGAATAAATGGAGACCATTTCTGCAGATATACGTCCATGAAATTTTTTGTAGCACAGTCCGTCTCGATAAGCTAGTCAAGAAATTTTCCACATAATTCAGAACCCGAAGTTTCATCACCTTGTTCACAACAGCCCACAACTGATCCATATTTTGAGCCAAATTTGATTTATAAAACACATCGATGGTCCATATATTTAAGGTTCTTTTTAATATTATCAAACCTTCTACGCTTGAATTTCCGAAATGGTCTTCCTAGTAGTTTGAAGTGCTAGTTTCTATGATTCGATCCATTGCTACGGGAAGACTAGTGAATACTAGGAATCCTAGTGCGTGTAAAATGGTGAACAGGAAATTGTGCAAATTAGCGATAGCGCTGTATTTAAGTGTGATTAAGAGGACTTGTAACCAAGGCGCTACTGAATCCAATCATCCGATTCAGAACCAGGCATTTTTCAAGAAGTTACAAGAATTTTTCTAATTTTCAATATTTTCAAATTTTAAATATAAAATTATTGAAATTTCTTTTGTCGTTGAATGTAAAATTCTATGTTGCTTTTGTGTTTTTGTCCCGCATTGTAGGTTGTCTTTCGCCCGAGGTTCGCTGTTATACTATATAATTGCCTCTTGTATCACTGTATAAATTTTGGGTTAACTGTTATTTATGTATGTCTCATGGCATAAATAAATTACTTTCATATTACAGAAGCTATTCGCGGATATACCCGCTGTTCGCCGAAGGTATGTTCTCCCCTTTAGCAATTCAATGGAGGAATAGCATTCAAATAAAGAAATCAGAGTTTCATATTGCAGTTAAAATGAAATTATGAAGGAGACTTTGAATAATATCCAGAAAATCTGCCGTAATACTTGCACATCATTTAATAGCCGTGGCTTCAGTACATACTGGTAATAATAAAATATATAATGTCTTTTGGTTCTCTATGATAACCTGAGGTCGAAAACAAACTTACATTTATATACATTATAAAAAGGTAAAGCTATCCTTGTAAGAGGCCATGGAGGCCCATAGAGTTGTGAGACGTCGAGGCTCCCACATTTTACAGACAATCGGCTCACAGATGGCAGTGAGGTCAGCCTTACGCGCCGGCCGCCCTTTACCCCCAGAAAGATTCGTGGTAATCATTTCTGTTAAAGGCTGAGTCGACGCTCTATAAAACGTAAAGTTGTCCTTGTGCTTAGCTAATTAAACACTACGCCATTTAGATACAGGGTGTCCCAGGAGGAATGTGCCAAACTTCGGGAGGGTGTTCCTTATGTTAAAGTATGCCGATATAACCCAAAACACCTATGTCCAAAGTTGAACGGTTACGGAGATAATGGCCCGAGAAAAGTGTGGTCTTCTAGCGGGTCCACGGATTATACCTATCAGCTGAGAGGAATTATCTCTGTTTGTCCTTGACTGCCGTGATTCATCCTATCCGTGCTTATGGAGTTGGCTTTATCAGAACGCGCAGTCAGCACGTTACGTCATCGCTTACCATTCATGTGTCATGTACAGTGCTTGGAACTCTTAACGACAACTTTGAGATGGCATGCGAGTTTTTTGTACTTCAATTTTATGGCTTCATGTCACTCACAAGTTAGTTTGATGTTACGTACATTATTAACATTACAGAATCCACATATTCCTGCCAGTTTTAATATCTATTTTGTAATCAACAAGTGTGTAACCCCGGTCAAAGTTTGACACTTCTCTGGCCATTATCTCCGTAACCGTTCAACTTTGGACATAGGTGTTTTGGGTTATATCGGCATACTTTAACATAAGGAACACCCTCCCGAAGTTTGGCACATTCCTCCTGGGACACCCTGTATATGTGGGGGGAGGTGGAGGTATAGATCCAATATTCTTGACCTCGGAACTGGATGGATGTGAGTGATCAGCTTCACGCTCTCTCCGCTTTGGACAAAAAACAGCGATACCCACTGTATAGGAGGCTGGGTGGGTCTCAGAATCGATCTGGACGCTGTAGAGAAGAGAGAAATGTGCCCCTGTTGGGAATTGAACCCCGACGCAGGCTGTATCCCGCAGCTATCGCATATATGCGACTACTCAGAACACGGCACTAAATCAGTTATACTGAAATGGAGAGCCGTAGCTGTAACGCATTCAGATTGATCGGCTTGAGAACCTTTCACCTGGTGAAAGACTTTATGGAGCAGAGGGTGAAGTTCAACAAAGACTTCAGTCAAAATAACCTCATAATGTGAATCCCCTGAAGAAGACTACTGCCAGTTATTTATATGAAGCTCTGCTTTTTATTATAGGACCCGCAATGCAACGCTTTGATGATCAAAGTCAAGAATAAAATGTGCACTGAATTCAAACACGAGCTCCTTTTTGTGGGTCAATAAACGACAATGCCAAAATAGCTTCGAAAGATAGGATGACAGAAGAATGATGAATTGGAAAGAATGTGAAAAGAAACGGTCGTTATCTCTTCCAGGTATTATTTCGGTATTTACACGTACTTGGAGGGACTGAGGAAACCTCGAAATCCTGTCAGGGTAGTCAGTGAAACCACTTGAGAAAACCTGTTTGGTTTAAAGTTTTGGCAACAATGTTGTAAGTGGTACCGCCTCTGTGGTCTAGTGGTCAGAGTTCCTGGCTACATATCCAGAGGTCCGGGTTCGATTCCCGGCGCTACCAGATTTTCTGAGAAGTAGTGGGTCTGCAACGGCGTCCACTTAGCCTCGTGAGGATAATTGAGGAGCTACTTGAATGGAAAAGTAGCGGTTCCAGTCTAGAAAACCGAGACTAAGGGCCGTGGTGATCCGTTGCGCTGACCACGCAACATCCTCTATACGCTAAAGTTGGCACTAACTTCGCCTACAAGCGGCGGTCGCTCGGTCGGTATAGTTCGCTTGCGGACTAAAGCCACGGAGTTTTTTTGTTATTTGTTGTAAGTGGTACACTTCATGCAACATGACCATGAGCCGTATAGCTTATAACTATTTGCTCTAACTGCATCTTATAAAATTCTGCAGAAGAGTACCTATAGAGTATAAATCTCTTTATGTGAACGGGATTGTTGGATGTTAACGAAAGAACAAGCGAGAAGAAGGAA